AGATCGACCAGGAAAAAAAATTTCTTATAGAATGTGGCCTGTAGAATCCATAATTTCAAACAGTTCCAAGATTGGGCTACTAGTTCAAAAGGTCGATCTGAGACAATTTTTTCTAAGGGCCTCAAAAAAAGGCAGTGTATAACCTTCCTTTTTTACCAAAAATCGACTGCACCAAAATTTCTCGGGAAAACACTTTTTCTTATTAATTTTGGTGCGTAGAATCCAAAACAATTCGTACTTTTTCGATCAGACTTCTCAATCAAAAGTTATAGACTAGAAAAGAAACCAATTTCGAAAGAAAATTCAACACGCTTGGTTTGCATCTAGATTATACAGTGTGAGCAAACTAAAATGAAATAGGGGTCAGTTACTGTTGAGTTCCCATCCAAATTTTTAGTATAGCGTAATAAATGTCGGGTCATTTTTAAACAGTTTTTGTTGTTTAATGGTTCTCTATTTGCCTTATGGAAAAATTCATCCTAGTCTTGTTTCTGAGCTTAGCAAATTGTCAACAGTAAGGAAAATTGCGAAACTATAGTAAAATTAGCTGAACGGATAGAAATTTCTACATATCTTTTGTATCAAATCCTTAAAAAGAGGCATTACTTTCAAGTAAATTAGATACTATTGTAAACGGTAGCTGATGTATTCCGACAAATGCTATAAAATGTTTAATGTGATCAAAAATTAAGCTAAAAGGTTTCAAACTACACACCACCAACGGAGGCCCATTGAAATAGAACAAATATCAGTCTAAATCGCGATTCTGTGGATGTAATGTAAGAAAGTTAAAGGAGGATACGTAACCTATCAAACAAAATGGCTAATTTATTGAACGATAAGGTGTAAATAAGGGAGAACAAAATACAAAAGTAGGTATTTTTCCTGCGCGTGAATTGGTAAAACAAACCCTATTGCTGCTATACTTACAATACGCGGAAGATCTAGGGCATTAGACCTATGTCAATATTCTCGGGAAATGAAGGACATTTTGGACCGAAGCATAATAGTATAATATCATTACTACTGTTAAATAATCTCATCTCAGTTGATGTATAGCAGAAAGCTCACGAGAGGCGTGCTTAAAGGTAAAGGGTGGAACAATACCAAACATAAAAATGTTATCTTTGTTGTTCATTTTTATCCGTTAAAAGGTAGTTGTCTTGACATCTCATAAGCACGATAAAAATATCGGAAATGAACTATATTAACACGTTCTATTTAGCCTTCAGCTATTCAACCTCTTTCTGTCAAAAATAAGTACTTCGTCACTCAAGGAAAATTCCCTAGGTATAGGTATAGCAGAAACTTTGGAAGTTAACATAAATTTGCTAATTTTTCTAAAATAGCTAATAGTTACCCTAGCTGTATAACCAAGAACTTTCTTTCTTAGACTTCAATAAATGGTGCTACTGACGCACTTAATGATAATTGAAATCATTAATAACAAACAACATTATCGTTTAATTAAAGTTTACGCCAACTGCGTTTTAAATCTGTTGGGAAAAAGATTCAGGAAAATTTAAATAATAGACAATCTATATGCAAATTTGGTTAAGTTGTAATCATTTTAAAATTGTAACCCCTTAGAAACGTTAAAATTACTTTCATTACACCTTTTCCTATCCAGTTATAACAAATTACATGATATAAAAAATACCCACCTAGAAGAAACAGAGTTGAAGACGTTGATAGTAAACGAAGTAACTTCATTGTAAATACCAAATTCACTTTATAGAAACTCTTTCTTAAAGATCGATTAATTTCTGCGTCTGCCTGATATAAGTGCGATGCAGTGCCAGTGCAATACTAGGTTATCAAGAAGTCAAGTACATCTAAATGTGTGACTTATGTTTTTCAGAAATACATCACGTAGTGAGAAACTTTTCACATTATTAGTCAATTAGCTTAATTTGTTGGACATATACATCTTATCTTAATGTGCCCATCTTCACATATAAGAGTGTAACACTTACCACGAGTGTAATAGTTATTCACAACATGCTGGTATTTCTTGCGTTATTAATGGTGCACCAAGGCTTTGGTAAGGCATTTGAGTTTTTTTTTGCGTTTGCTTATTGATTGCTTGCCAGGTTCATCTTACTTGATTACCGGGACAAACCAGTGGGGATTTCCGCAACCTTCACCGATTCAGCAATTCCAAAGCAGCTTCAATTGGCCATACCAAAAAACCATTCCTTACCATCCAATGTCACAACCCTATTACACGTCGCCAAACCGGGAACGTGATTATGAAATTCGTGCAATTAAGCAAAGTCAATCAGCTATATTCCGCCTGCTTAAATGTATAATGGAAAATAATGCCCTAGAATACTGTCGCATGTTGATGGACCATATGGAACTGTTCGAACAAGATCAAAGGAAACCAGTTACAATTATCCAACCTATTGTAATTTACATAAACACGTATGCTGAACAGAGCCAACCTTCTTCATTGCCTAAACAACCTGAAGAACCCATCCCTACAAAAATTCCTGCGGTCAAATTTCCGGAAAATGATACACAATTTACGAGCAGTCCAGCACCAATTACTACGAATCGCACACCAGAGGCACCGATGGCGTCTCAAATTAATGAAGAAACTACAATTGAACCTTACACCCATTCACAGACTACCAGTAGCGCAAAGCTTACTACGAAAAATGAGGAAGCGATTACTGAAATTACTAAAGAACAGATTGAACCCACGACGCCCTTAGATTCCCTCGTTTTTCTGGAGAATGCAGAAGAAAATAATGAATCCAATAAGTAATATACGGATATACAATTAAATTGCATGCAAAAACTGTGTATAAAATACATCCGGCATTTACAGGTAATTTACACCATTACCAATGCTTAAGCCTAATTATAATCCATTACAAGCGGTATCATCGATGTAGTAAAAGTCAAGGTAAAGGTCAAGTTCTATTGTTGCGAATAAAAAGTACGAGCAATGTCATTAAATTTGTTTCATGGCGCATCTTTCGTATTCAAACGTATTACTCCACCAATATTTCCTTGCGTCTCCGATTTCTTGGCATCGCTAAGCTCGGCAGGCGCTCTTGGCAAATTACCAATATTAGAAAATTTCCTTACAGTTTCCCAGGAATTATTCATAAACGAATATCCACTTTTTAAGGCGTCGCCCGCGAAGTCTTCAATATGGGAAATCGGGGAATTACCAAATTGTTTCAAGAAAACATTTGGAATTCTAAAGAAATTGTCGGCAACTTGATCCACATTCGCTCTTACCTCGTCGAATAAATGACCTCCCAATCTTGGAATTTGCATGCTGCCCATGTTGGTTTCTTCATTATAAAAAACTGGAAACGCTTGCAGTTGTCTCACTAAAGCTACAACGAAAAAATGATACAGTTAGAAACATTTCTAGCCATACTTACAATAGTGAATGAGAGAAATAAACAATGTAACTCTAAGAGAACGTTTCATTTTTGATTATACAGAATCTTAAATGTCGCACACCTTTTAAGTATCTGATGTATACCCAAAAAAGTTCGTATAATGCATTAATAATTTTACGATTTGTAGGTAATTGCCAAAATGAGTGGACGTAACATGGATAGTCCGTGAGCTCCCACTGGATCACCTTGAGGAGTAGCTATAGCACAGAATATAGAGTAGGTTACAAGCTGTATTCTGTGGCTATAGTATATCGGGATTTATAGGCGAATCTTGAATCGTCTGCACAATTGAAATTCATAGAAAGTCGTCCTGTTTTACATCGATCGAAAAATAGATATTGCTGGAGGATTATAACCTAGGAAGTGGGAGAAGTGAGAGACTCACATGAACTATTAAGACGTTAATGACTCATTATGATAAAACAAACATCGATACTGATGCAATGTTTTACTGAGTTAAAATATAGGTACATGGGATTGTTCCGAGTCATGGTCAAAGATCGATTCTACTTCGTTTAGCGGTTCCCTAGGAAAACGGGCGCGGATAAATTGGTCAAAATTCGATCTTACAATATTCGCCTGGGAAAATTCGACCCCATGCATGCTTCAAAACATTCGCTCCCAAAGAAATTCAAAGCGGATTAAGTCGCCCCGGTAAATTGGCCTACGGGGATTCATCACTTTACGAAGTACATTCGCTACCAAAAAAATTCCTTCCAAGAGCCCAAGGAGTATCGCTCGACGAAATGCTGTTCTGCTATAGTTCTGAAAGAAGCTCTAGATACGCCAGAACAGACAATTTGCTTGTTGATGCACATTTGTTTTCCATTATTCTGCAGAAATATTGTTTGGATAAGGTAATGTGGTGGAGAAAAAATAAAAGCAGCAACGTAGATAGTCAGATCCTCACGATTCTTTATGACGAGAATAAACGCTCGTATATATGGGGATATTGTCTTAAATGTCAAGTTGTGAAATAGCTTTTGGTATGAGCAAATTGGTGAAAATGTTCGCGATTGTGCTATTTTAGAGTGGAATGAAGTCGGTGTCGTTGAAATGTAAGCTAATATGTTATACAGGCGGTGTTGAATAAAGGAGTACGATCATTTTGAAGATGGAGTGAATCGATTGTGCGTATAATACAAAAATCCCCACAAATCCCTACCCCCGAGTCGGGAAATTGAATTGAAATGATTATTGCTTCCAAAAATAATTTCGTGCTGCACTAGCAAGAGAATTCAACAACAACTTTGATGAGATTGATTGGAAACATTGACCTTTATTTATAGAACGACTAATTGAAGGAAATTTCTGCGAGTGGGATTTGCGTAGCTAGTCACATTTAATCAGGTTGCTAATTAACCCCGCATTATTGCGTTGTTACGTAATTTTCATTCAATAAATGCTATTACGTGTTACATTGGTACCTAAATCGTCAGATGAACGAACCATAAAGCTAACCGGAATAGTTTTACAATTGAAAAGAAATTCGATTGTAAGCCTAAAAGGGAGCATCGCCATTTCTAATATTACAAAATGAAAGTTGTAGGCCGCTATCGCAAATACTATTAAGTCTCGAGTTCCTTCAAGACGTAATAACAAAAGAGTTTCCACTCACGCTGAAATTTCATATTTCATACATTTCAAACTTGCAATTTCGTAAAAGCAAACAGATTCTATGTTTCCATTTCAGATTGCGACTATAGGGAAAAATGTGAGTGGTTTAAAAAAAATTATCTCATATTGTCCCAGATAGAAGCCGACTAGGAAATGTTTGTGGTTCAGGAATACTTAATTTATATCAGGCTTTTTTGTTTTATTCTGTGCACGTACGTTCCACACAGTAACAATCTCATTTATGAAGTGTAGGTACAATGTAAACACCATTTCATTATTCTCACATATACCTAAGCTTGAATAATTGTTTACTACGGGCACTGAAAAATCAGAATAAGCTCATAAATTTCATTTAGATATCATGATCATTTCACAATGATCGAATAAAGATAGAAAATCTTTGCGATTGCGACTTTCTTACAGTTTCTCTTGTTTTGCAATTGAAGTTACATGCATGGAAATTGGAAAGGTATCATTAAGACGGTTTTAATGCCCGAACAATTTTTATAAAAGAGTTTTCTATCAGTTGGAAATTTCCAAAAAATTACCTCGAAGTTCTGAGGGACTACTAAAAAAATTAATTTTAAATTGTGAACATGTGGAAAAGGTCTTAAAGGCAATCCAAAATGATTTTCTAATCACTTAGCTAAATATAATTCCAAATAAATTCCGAACAGGAGGAATCGAAAAAATTAAAATCGATTTAAAATTTGACCCTTTTTCTATTAAATAGAAAATGAGCTTATACCTTCTGCAAAGATAATTGTAGTATCATCTTTGCCTCCTGACACGTGATTGCGTATTAAGAAGCCATATTTTCCTATAATAAAGACCTGTTGACATTATTGTTGTTCCAGCAGCTGCTGATAAACCAGGAGACGTAATATACCTAAAGACACTTTAAGGGACTAAATAAGTATTTAAATCAAACGCGTACATGCGGGAGTAATGCCGTTTTACGTAACACCGGAATTCGCCGACACTACCTTTTATAAAGTGTATTTTTAATCGAATAACTTTAAATACGTTAAGGAATGCAATTCCGTACCAAAGAAAAATCCGATGTGTATCTGCTTAGGATAATAGAATAAAGATTCGTGGAAGATCGTCAGTACAAGAACATTTATCATACCATCTCTGCGTAGTACGTATTTGAAATGTGTTCCTATTTCTTATTGTTGTTATTGCAACACATGCATTATATTTTTTGCGGACCTTGTATTATGGTTTAAATCAACTAATAGAATTCTGCCCACCGCAAACGTATTGAAGTGTTCGTATAATTATAATTATTTTACTCGTCACTCAAAGAATAAACTCATTTCAATCCTCTGACATCGGAGGTGGGTTACACCAGGGCCTCTTCACTGGAATTTGAGGATGGATAGTTTTAGGAATGGTTCGCAAGGATCCATAATCTAGTTGTGTTGTGACATAATTAAGGCTTTATAGATATTTAACAGGACTTTAGGTTCTGCACCCCATTGTGTGTGTGTGTGATAGACCTTTAAGACAATCATTGTTTTCATGCATTTCATGAGTTGTTCAATATGTAATTTCCATGTTATCAAAAGCGAATCCTAAAAGTTTTGCGGATGCAATACCTACATGTAATTGGAAGGATCATTATGTGGTCTACGCAGTCTACAGAAATGTACACGCTTGATTTTTTCTTCTGAGAACTAGAAACCCATTCTTCTCCCCTTTTGCAAAATTTCATTCATCCATCTTTGTATTTTCCTGCTCATTTCTCCAACAGAGCAGTATATTGTTAGGTCATCCATATACAAAGCCCGGGACACATCAGTATCTATTCCATGTGCAATTTCTTCACACCGTTTTCTAACATGCTAATTCCACAGAATGAATTTCGTACTCGGACTTGGGAATATCTAGGTACCCGTCATTCCACAAATTTCAGTAAGTTACCTTAAAAGATAGCTGCTTGCTTGTTAAATGTTGTACCGACATATATAACGCCCAGTGCAGATTCACAGTAATTATAATATTGTTTCAAGAAGGTCGTTAACTGGCGCGAATGTAGTGTTATATGTATAGGTGTGTTTCCAAATATAAACCTAGTTAGGTTAAAATAATAAATTCCAAAGGATTACAAGCACAGAATAGTATATTGAAAGACAAGTGTTACAATGCGACCTATTGTAATACGACTATCTTGTGGCACGAGTGGCGACGCAAAGCGTAGCCACGAGTGTCCGCAAGATAGGAGTATTACAATAAAGCATTGTAACACGCGTTTTTCATACTATTTTTTCTATTTCGGTGCTTTAATTTAATTAAAAAAATCATTATCAGAAACTATAGGGAACATTAGAACTAACATGTTTTATGTTGGGAACACTTTTTATGCCGTTAAGTTTTAGGTTGGCAGCGTAGTAAGACTGACATTTTGAAGTTCAAACATGGAAGTACCCAACGAAGTACCTCTTGTACTAACTAGTAACTGCCAACTTAAGAGATGAGTTACAAAAAAAAACGACTATAATCACTGTCTTTGTACAACTGTTTTCGGCGGAAAACAATTGTACAAAATCATCATTGTGGCACCGAAATAGAAAAAATAACTTTAAAATTGTCAGGAAGTAGATTTTTGGCATAAGGAAGTCCATGTGTCCTTATGTACTTCCGTAGAGCCATTGTTTCACTTTCCATTTGAATCAGGTTATACAGTATTTCTTCACCGCTTCAGAATGTTTCTCAAATTTCCAAATGCAAAGGAATCTAAGTAAAGGCCTTTAATGACGATGTCGAAAAAAACGCCAAAGAACGAAACCGTCTATCTATGGTCAGAATTGGCCATCGATAGCAAGTCAGCAATAGTGTTTGTTTGAACTGTGCCGTCTGACGCATTAATAATTTTGCAAGTGATAAATCACGCCATTTTATGCTTATGAAATGGGTCATAAGTAGGTACATAACCGACCATTATTCACTCAATTATTTTCAACCATCATAAATCGCTAAACTGAATCTATCCTCAATAGGTGTATGCTATACTGTCCGATCATGGTTATGTTCTTAATTAACGACTGAAGGTAGGCAAAAAGTTAAATAAAAACTTGAGTTGCCTCCAGGGACAGATTTTCTTATTTAATGCGGCGCTAGCTAATTACAATTAATATCTATACGCGTTCTATAACTTATTCCCCCACTGAATCTCGTGGAAACAATTTATGCTTACAATTTAGTCTCGAAAATTGCAATTGCTGGTACAGCATTTTATGCTTCATATTTCCGGTAAATCGAACGTAAAATAACAACAGCCGCATAACCGTTATGTTTGTTGAACCATTAAAGTTTAAGCTACAAATTTGGATTTCACGAATACTATATATATACAAGCATAGTAAACAAATTGGGCGTGCTGTCGAGTGAACAGTTCCGTGCAAAACTAGCAAACAATATAAACCCGCTATGCATTGGATGAAAATCGCCTTAGACGGTAAGGTATTCAGATTTATTCCCAGATTTATTTTCCAGACTCGTTTGACTTTCCTCGGAATGCAATTTGTCTATTTAACTACAAACCTAAACTGCTTCATTGATAAATTGCGAAGAAAAGTTGAGATTTCTGACTCTGAGAAATCATCTGCAGAAATAGTGTTCTATTAAGCTGTAGTAATTCCTCACTAAAATCTAATTTCTAACCTCTTAAATTTTTTAGTGCATTGAATTTTCAATCCTAAAATTCTTGATATATAAAGCAATTTTGTAGTAATTACATTTAACCCTTTCTCCACCTCTTATGAGTCATTTAAAAAACAGAGAAGAGCATTTTGGCTAAAATTCTCATTCCAGATAAAATTAAACCCTATAGTTGTTAATTTCTTGTGCGGTAAATTCACCATCGGAATATTCGCTCCCAGAATATTCGTCTCTCGTCTTAAGACCGTCTGCAGAGGCACCTCTAAATAGCATTATGCGGGTCACTCTGTAATTGGGCGCATGCCTGTTGAGGGCCCAAAACAAGAGAGGAATAATAAATAATAAATAAATAAATAAATAAAGTCTCCACAAGATTCGCACGCGAAATAATCACCGCGCGAAATATTTCGCTCCCAGAAAACTCGCCTCCCGAATTTCCGGTCCTAAGAAAACTTGCTGCCGGAATCAGCAGTATCTTCGCCAGGAACCTCACCATTTGGTCTTCCCAAAAAGTATAATGTCACTACCATGGCACGGCAGCTCTCTTAAGGACTGTATAGCAGAATTACTTAACTAACCCACACGATCGTTTTGACATGGGGGATTTTTAAGAATTACAAAAGTTTTTAAATGACTTTAAAAATTGTTTCTGTTCAAAACTTTCCGGCATCCCCTGGAGGCCTAATATTTCTGAGGCTAATTGAACGGAGAGAATTTTTTGCTTTTTTAATTGACTTCCTCTGTAATAAAACGGGAATTTGATTGAGGTTGCTCTACCAACCTTACCACCTGATCGTATAGTAAGACTCTACTTTGTTAGACCAAACTGAGACCAGCCCATTTTATTTCATCTCCACTTGTCTTTTTGCTAAATTCAGCAGCAACGTTATTTATCTTTGAAGTATTAAAGTTATATGCAACATTCACAGTGTAGGTGGTCTCATTTTGGAAAATATTCTTACGCACTTTGGGTGTCGCTAGAAGAAGGAAAATTGTTCTCAATTAAAGAAATTGTATAACAATTAGGAACGTATTTTCATCTTCGAGATTCTTTTCATTATGTAATCAAGCTTCGGAGTTAATTAAATATAACATTTCTGTTTAACGCTTCGAATATTTATTTTAACACTTTTTGCTTCCAAAAGAGCAGAACAGTTTTCAAGAGAGTGCTTTCTAATTACATTTGTACGATCTTCACATGCTACATTTCAATGGTACAAGACCTATGTTTTAGTTTTTAATTATATACATCCATTATATTTGGAGTCTTAAAGAAACATGCCAAAGTTAATTGCATTTTATAATTTCATGACAGATTATCTTACTTCCAAGCATTATTAATTGAATTGGTGACGTGAATGCGCCCTGCGAGTTCCTAAATTAATAAAATAAAAAGAATTCCGGTTTCACAAAACATAATCAACTTGACATTGCAATTTTTTTCTACCGGTTGGTTCCCTGTCTGGAACTACGCAATTGGTCTTCTCTGGATGATGTAATGCTGTAAGGTATCGAAGTGAAAACGTGATCCCAAACAAAAGGGTGACTAAAATATTGAACGAAAATCCTCGAAATTCGCAACGAATTCAATGTATAAGGAAGTACGATTGTTGGTGTTCTTGTGGAATTTAAAAATCATGTTCGATTAAGCAGGCTTTTCATATTCGAAATGAATCATCGAATGACTGGGGCACCTTGATTCGTGGCAAAGTGATCTAACCCGGAGGTATACAAAATTGTGCCCGACGGCAAACTAATACAATCGTGATACAACAACAAAACATTTACTTATAGTAAAAACGATACAATGATATCTTTGGGAACAATACTTTTTATGACCTTTGGGAGGATTTTTTGTACATTATCCAAGTAATTACTCAGAATTTAATTATTATTAACTAAAATTATGAAACAGTGGAACACTTTCGTCGCGTAGCTTATTCTCAGTTAAGTGAGTATATGATTCGATTATTGTTTATGAGGGGTGTTGTGTAATGGCTTCTGAATGAGGATAACACGTAATTAAGCTAATAAGCCCATCTCTGCTACATAATCAAATAGCTCGCTGCGGTGAATCTTTAATAGTGTATTTTTGAGAGAAAAAAATTTAACGGTACGAGATGAAAATAATAATTACAGGTAGGAGCAAGAATTCGCACGTAAACGAACATCAAGACAACTTTATGATATAAAAGGTAATCTTCGAGTCAATGGCCAGTTACTTCGTGGATCTCTTGTTGGTTAGAATTCTTACAGAGCATTTTTCCATGATGAAGTGCCGGACGCGGACAGTTGTAGTGTTTTTGGTATTGAAGTTTTGGACAGCAGGTATGTAACGTAACATTTTGCGCTTCTAAATTATGCCAAGTAAATTGGTTTCAGAGCTCGCACCAGCAATTACCAGTCGGCAATTTATACCACCCTTACCTGGATACATTCCAGTCTACATACGTTCGGGTAATACTCCACTGGAAGATATTAACATGGAACTTGCGGAAGCTTTTCAGAGTTACGCTCTTAAACAAGCACGCATAAACGCAATGGGAACTTTATCAGGAATTGTTGACGCTGATGATGCCATCACAGAAAACCATGAGATAATTCCACTAAACAATATCAATGTTGAAGATGAAGAAAACTCGCAATCAAACATAATTCCGTATTCGCAACACATACAAAAAATTCCACGAAATTAATAACATAACCTACTTACAATATTTATGTCAACCAAAAATTAATAAAATGATGCTGATTTTAGATTTTTTAATTCGGAACATCGTGAGGTGTTCGTGTTATCTTATCAGCACTATTATCTCTAGTATTAAATATAACATATCTACGGCAGGACTATAACATGTTAGTGTGTGTGAGGCGGATATTCCCTTCAACAATATGAATAAGATGGTATGTACTTTTAACCTACACCCACATTGTGTGCAATAATTATGGGACCCCACGCAGTAATAAAAATGCTTTAGAGACCATGAGACGGTTGTTAAACCTGCCGTGATGCACGAAATTTTGGCCTCACTCCTTAATTACACATTTCAATGGAATTTGCTTTCTAATACTATCGCAGATAACTTAGTCAGGGTATGCGCTTTTCTATTTAATTTGGATGGGTCAGTATGAGTCAGAGAGGTCATTCGTGCAATTATTTGAAGTTAGGCACTAAAAATTTTTTGACAATCCGCAGGTTATGTGAATTTTGAAATCAGGGCGTCATTTTATCAATCATGCTATCTAATCTCATTGATTTTATAACCCTCTTGCAAAAGTACAAGGTATGCATCGAGTTTTTCCAGGCGGCCATGATCGTAAAACTACTGTTGCTGCTTTCCATCTCTATACTGAAGGCGAACTCGCAAGAAAATGCGGCAAACTCCATCGCGCCCGGACTTAGAGAATGTTACAATAACATGAATTATTTTGATAGGGAGAAAAGACTGCCCTCATCGATAAATGTCCTAATTGCTTTAATACGAAAAATCGAAAAAGCTCCGTACATTCAAAATGATCGTGAGTTGTCCATGCAACTCATCCAAAGGTATATGACCCAATTACCTAATCGCCGAAAGCTCATTGGCATACTTTCAGATTTAAGCAGGATGGAATCGTGGCGTTTGATGTTCCAACTGACTCGGAGTACGGCATACCTGCATCACCGATGGGATTTCAAGCGGCTAAAAACAAAGTAATATTGCGTAAAATAATACCCGGTATCGCGGAAAATTTTCCCAATTCATCACTAAGTGAAATTGAACGAGTAAGTCAATGCGTACGATGAGCACCTTCAATCATACTTTTGCAGTGTTCGCTCCATTTCATGCTATCAAATACAATTCATGTTAAACCTAGGGGAGATGAGCAACAAGTATGTAAGAAATTGGGTCGTTTTCAAAGAAGGGTGCCCAGAACTGCAGAACCTGATCGAGATATTGAGATGTTTGATCCAAAGTAAGTACCTGCTCTCTACTCTACTCATCCATTTATTTAGGTAACAAACTGGTTGCAGTGTCCAGAGAATGTAAGCACTAACTTTGATTTCCACTCGGGCAACGCCTTCTGTGACTTATTTTCTCAATTTGCATAAGTATACATGTGGGTCTTGCTTATTTCTTCGTTCCTTTGCCAAGCTTCAAACCCCATATTGAGTTTTGCATATAATGTTAGTAACTATTTGAATTGCCACTATAGGTTTAATAGTCTGACTGTCTAAGGGTCCTATTCTTGAACGTGTGACTTCCGTGTGAGTGACAGTGACGTCATGTCGAGCGATTTTCATAATTTCTTATATTCTTGACACTTTACGCCAATTTTCCCAATCTCCAGTGCTATCCAAAGTAGCCGCACCTGCCTTCCACTTCTCCTGTATATCTGTATTCGTAAAATTAGGGGATGATACCAAATTTGGTGAGCGAGTGGTCACCGATGAGAAAGTCACACACTCACCGATTTTTCTCGAGCGGTTCAAGGCAACTTTAAAACTCACTTTCACACAGATTTGCATGTTTGGTGCTTAGCGAGGGGCGTATAATTTTTGATGGCCTTACTGAATCCACTCTCATCTTCTTTCTAAGACTAGGGCAGAATTTGTAGGCGCTGCAAATTATTAAATTACTGAGGGATTGTCTGTGATGTAAGAGCGTAACCCCATATTCCATAACTCCATACCTACAGTACTCTGTGTAGTGCTACTTATTCACGAAGCCGACCTGTGTAGCTCAGATGGTTTACGTTAGTAGCTCTAACTTTGGCTACAAGGGTCCTGGGTTCGAATCCCAGGTAAGGCATGGCTGTTTGTGATTCTATAGTGGGTTGAGTGGGTAGCTAATTAGCTAACACCCGCCGACTATAAAATAAAGGCAATAAAAAAAATCAAAATAAAATGTAAGTCGGTCTTTAAATAATCTGTAAAATCGTATTGCACCAAAAAGTCGAACACTAATTGGTTTACGTCCGCTGACGTAGTAAGTAAATATCTGGGTAGGTCAGCTTCCTATTGAACCATAACATTTAAGATTAAGAAAACTGCAGCGGTAGTTCTAAATGCTTATTGTGTAGAAACTGTTGATTGCGGTCTAGTCTTTCACTGTGTTACTTTGAATTGACCGTTTGCATTTTGCTAAAGGGTGTAGCTGTAGCGTAGCGTTTATCGATGTTTTGCTGTTACTACCTAGGTCAGTGGGGTTTCATAAAATTAGCAAAAAGGTTACAATTTCTATCAAATTAAATAGATAATAATAACGTGTGATTATCAATCAATTAATGGAAAATATTGTATAATGTTTAAAGTTTTTTTGCGACGTTTTTATTTATTTAAAATTTTATAATAATCATATCATATGTTTTTCCTATTTTAGGGTCTCTAAACATAATTTCGACGTATTTAGTAATTGTTAAATAAATCTCACTTATTCGTGTACCATTCTCATCAGCTTAGCTTTCGTTTCCAATCGAAGGTATTATATATTTTAATTACTTTGACATATTTATCCCGCTATTTACTAAGCAGTATGGAGGTTCAGTAATATATTATCTTATCCTAAAGTATGGGTGGGTACAACAGATAAGAACATTCTCAATGTTTTATAAACAGTGAATCATGTCTGATGACGTCATTTGGAGAATTGTCATCACTTCTTACGTTTTCATAAATGAATCGGTAATGAATGCGACTTGTATGTACGAGTATGTTCATATTTGGAGCCAGAGGTCAGTCATTTTATCCGGCAAATCAATTATACACACAAACCTTATACTCATGAGATGTTCACATGAAATCTAATCTGGAATTCGAACACTGATTAATGAATATCTCATCAACCTGTTCGGAGTATGCGTGAACGACATGGAAAAGTAGAGCATTTTGGGAGTTCATAATTTTATGAACAGAAAAGCTTCTCCTTTGAATAGAAACCTCAAAACAACCTTGTAGCATACTATAAACACTGTTACCTTAAATTTACAAAAGAATACTGACCTCATGACCTCTTATTAGGTAAACTCGTACAAACGCGACGCGACAATCCTCCAAAACATGACTAAATTAAAAAAATCTTTTCGGAGATGCTTCAAAGGTTTGTTTCTTTTTTAAATTACTACATCCTTTAAAATCAAACTCACTTGGTTCCAGTCCTTTAGCAATTACTCTATTTATCTGTTGGTGTGTGTATGTTAGAGATGTTTACAATCTGATCTCAAACGGTTGTTGGCCTACGCCCAAAATAAGATATTCAATCAAATCTGTCTTTACGCATGCCTGTGCTAGCTAATGTCTTCGAATGTGAACCCTTCATAAATTAAATATTGAGGGGCGTAAGGGGTGCTACTTCATTCACTTGTGAGATGTATGCTTGCGTATTTATTTGTAAATGGTTTGACACTCACAAAACACGTCATTTATTTTTGGGGTATTTTTCAAGAAATATACTGCTAACACCTGCGTGAATGTTATCCATCTCTCCGCTCCTCAAAAGGTGCGGCTCGTAGTAAGATGCGTTTTTTTGTTAATGTTAATTGCATAGGGTCAATAGGGTGATCCGAAAGAAAGAATACTGTCTTAAAAAAATTTATGTTACACCCACCAGCTTGGTTAGATAATTGGGTAAGTGATTTCTTAGGATTCTGCTGCATAGGTAGGTACGTTCTCGTACTCTACGATAGCTTTGAATTAATTTGGTCTTGCAAATACACTTCATATTCTGAACGTGTTCGATATTCGTGCGTATATATAACAATACGTTAAATTGCTGTAAGCAGGGTCCATTCAAATAAGATCATGTACCGTCTTCTAAATGTGTAGTGTTACGGCAGTGCGCGTTTAAGATGAATGCATCATGTTCAGTAGTAAAAGTCATCCTCTTGAGTCTAACTAAAAAGTCATAAAGCATTTTCCCTTATGAACGTACATTTGCAAAATGCTGCACTTGCAAGAAGCTCTGAGAAGAACTGTTTGCTTTAGAATGCAAGGATCGCGGTACAGAGACAAGAAAATAATTATTATTAATGCTATTAGTAATGCTAATTTCCTTACTTTCCCAATTTCCACAATGCCGCCCCGTGTGAGGTGTGGCGCAGTTGAGTTAAAGGGTCCATGGTTCGAATCCAGGTTCAGGCATGGATATTTGTAAATGTATAGTGGGTTGGGTTGGTAGAGAAGCCTTGGGATTTTATGTTGTAACTTTGCTGGTCCTTTTAATCGTTATTCTTATACTGTTCGAAAATTGCTTTCCCATTCTACTCATCTCGCTCATGAATTTCTTTACTGTTTAGGCATCATTCTGACCGCACTGGTAACCTACAGGAAAATAATGAGCCCGTAGATCCTAGCAAAGATATCGACATTGACGTGCAACGAGATTTGGCCAAAAAAACCCTAACCTTCGAGTTAAGTGATTGTCCAGTGGAAGATGGCGTCGTATATACCCGATGGGGAGCAGTTCAAGCTGGCCATGTTATTAGTGGCATTGCTGCAGCGCGTGATCAACAGTACATTATCAAGGATGGAGTAAAAGTAGACGGTCGATATGCCGCTACCCTCGCAGGTGAATTTTGATGCCCATATTTCTCTGTTTTTTAATAGCGCGTTACAGGTGACCTTGCCGAAGTTGTTCTTCACCAAGGTGTAAAGTCAGTCAAGCAATTTGAAGTGGGTGTAAAAGGAGGCTGGAATGGAACTCAAGTTCCTCGTTGGTATTTTATCGAAAAAAACTTTAACCTAGAGCTAACTGATGCGGAAATCCGGGGAGGTCTTGATGGTTTAATACTTGCAAAAAATATTGACTCCTGGCGAGATAAATTCCGAACACTCAAAATATCCCAAATATTGGATATGTTTTACTCTCAAAGAGGGATTTTTTCAAGCAAATATCGCGCTTGTAATAGAAAAGGAATGTACTACGAAGTTGCACCTAAAGATGAACTAGTAACACAAACGTTCGGTTTTGGACTTATTCTTGAGGAGGAGACGACCCTTTTCGGTACTATTAATGACAAAGGAATTCAAAAGTATAGCGAGGACTCGGTAAATGCATTAAATGACTACATTTGTAAGTGCATTATGATTTATTCAATTATACCAATTGCAATTTATGTTTAATTCAGCAAGCATCCAGGACCTTAAATGTGAAATCGACAATGATGTTAATGTACGCGCGGCTGCCGATGTCCTCCTAGTGTTAGACACTCAATGGGAGTTTAAATTAATAGAATCAGTAATAGCGTACGTATACCCTTCTCGATCCCTTAATTAAATCAGTAATGAGGCTGTTTTCTGTAGATACCTATTAGATAGCGTCAACATCAACCCTTACGGCGGCAATTATACTATAATCAATGCGAAAACTGGGGAGATGATGGTAAATTCTTCAAACACCATTTTAGATTTCTACTTAAGTTATAACAGAACGATACACACAAACGGTAGGTAGTGTAATTTTGTAATAGCTTGTTTAATTGCTGTATTGCAGCTCCCATCGGTCTTGATGTTCCAATTGCGTTTGACGCTGTGCAAAAGATTTTCCAAAGTAAAATTAATAATGAAACAAGTGACAAATATAATCGGGGGAAATCGTCCATTGCGATCTTTCTTCCTTATTCTGTTCTTTCGGAAGGCGATAAAAGCGTGGCTAGTTCGAAAAAAGAGCATTTTAAGCTGTATCTTCCAGGTATAGCAATTAAAATAAGCGCCACTATTAACACCATCTTGTAGACGTAAAAATATTGGCCCTGGGCCGCAATGGAAGAGATGCTTTCGGGCATCTTGTGTTCGACCCTTCTATTGACGCGTTTGATTTGTCTGATACTTCCACTGATGGAACCTCTATTGTACAATCAACGAATCTCCTTGTTTCTCGTGTTAACGAAAGTAAGTTGGTGGTAATCAGCTTGTCTGTTTCTAACCTAGTGTAATTTGGGTATAGTCCACAGGCGCATAAGTAATCCGAAGTGTGGTGCTGACTTTTCTGGGGAAGAGGCGTCTGATTCTTTTGATCAGTACGTTGAGCCAAATACCTCATCGTATTATAAAATTTCTCCTAATTATTTCTTCGGAGATGGGGAGCGATTCATTAAGTTTCAAGGGTATGGTTATGGAAATCTGATGGTCTGCTTGTCACGACAAGACGGCAAACCAAGGCAGAATGTTACCGGTGGCGACACGAAGTGCGAAACCATGACTGGAATGAATCCAATAACCTTTTCGCTAACCGATGCCTGTATTGATTACGACACCGTGTTTTCATGCCCACCTCTTTACATTTCGGTGCAATCCAATATTGCAGATACCGAAACTAGAAGTATGAAATGCATAGGTAAATATGCAATTTCTATTTTGGCGTAAGTGGGTATAATTCCATATTTTTCAGATTCGGGTTGTAGATATCCTGATGATATCAAGTACACCATCCACGTAGAAAAATTGTCATGTGTTAACGGTAGTTTTAGATTTATTGGGAATTTAGGTCTTGTTACTATTACAATACTTACATTTATTTCCAGTTGGTAATTATTTTGTGTACAGTTCATATACATAAGCGCTGTGTGTAATTTTAATTCGCGTGACTCGTGTATGTGTGGGGTGATGAGTGTGAATTCCCATGTATGCGCAATTTCTACAGTAAATTCATTTAAATCATAGTTACAATGAGAGTTTAAGAACAGTTGAGTTATAAAACGATTTTAAGACCACAATACCACAATCATTGAAACTCCTCATTTTAGATTTACATAATTACTTGATATATTTCGTTGACTCTAGTATATAACATATATTTTATTCGTTTCATTTTCTAATTTAATATTATGTAAGAAATAGTTATTAGCGTCATTTGTTTTATAATATGTTTTTACCTACCTATCGAAAACGATAATAAACTTTTCAACTGAAAGCTCAAAATACTTATATACGCTAACTACCAAACTTATATTGGCCACTATGGCACTATTTCCATACAAGATTGGAATGTATTACACCAGAGATATACTTTTGAAAACCCAGACCACAGGGGCGCTATATGCGCAAGCACAACGCTGTCAAAATAATATCCACACTCTATTTTTCATAATTTTCAACAGAACAATAATAATATTAAAGTTTATTCTATTGTATAAGCCAAAAACTATTAGGCGCTCTACCAACATTCCAAATCTTAATCATAGTTATCATAATTGTCAATCGTTGTAACAGTGCTAATCAAAAATTAATAATATTTCTGTAAGCAAAGTTGCAAATTATTAAACATTTAGTGACACTAAAATTGTGGGAGTTTTACAATTTCCAAAAAACAAGTCTTAATATGGTTTGAGTTGCAATTTAGCACATCATTAACTTGATTTAACAATAACACTTAAGCAATATAACCGTGGCTTTCCTAAACGTTGCTGGTAAAGTACGAGTTTCTGATCTTTTCTTTAATTCTTGAAATAGAGTACACGCTTCTCCAAGTTGATCAGTTTATACAAAAATATAGTACAGGCATAATTAATTTTTGTTCTACATTAAATAAATTATACTGATCTAAGTGTGGTATAACATAATTACTTATTACTCGTGTTTCAAATTATGTATTTTCAAACGTTACGCCTAAATTTTTTGCACTATATGTCCATTTAGTAAAATATTATTGAAAGAATACTTAGTTGTATCCAGACTGTTTCTATATGCTACATTACAGATACGCATTGCTACTAGGTTAGGTTAATCACAACATAGATTAATGTTACCAAATCCTTTATTGTAGACTTCATACATACAATATATGATATCGACAGTACTTTATGCCTACCAGGTTACTTATATGTATATGGAATATAAAATTGGACCCAATACACTTCCCTGTGGGACACCATCAATTGTGAAACACCATCTAGATTAGTTGTTATTTACGGATATTATTGTTGTTGGTCTATCAGCTCTTATTAATCCATAATTGTCTTCATTAAGGGATCGTGTGTTCATATCCCTAAAACGGAGGTCGGGAGATCAGTTACTTTTTTGCCTTAGCGGTAGATGGAATTTCATTAATGAAGCAGATATTTACTGTGCTGATGCTATAATTCAGTTTTTCTACTTCTGTCTTTACGTTTTTGAAATAATCACGCTGCAGTGGAGTGTCCCCACGGCTGAGAAATAAACTTGGATCCTCTTCTCTTCTTTTTTTTAAATTATTTAAAAAGCATCTCCATGGCTTTCAAGCGTAATCATAATGGAACGTAAGTACGTAACATGAACTGTTACATACATTGATTGGTAGTGAGACTGTATTATTCCATTATAGTTTTTACTTTGAGCAAATCATCTGCAGGTTCATTGATTTTATACATACCTACATTGTTATCTCTTTTTGCGGTTTCATTTATTATCGGCTCTATTTTATTTCCGTATAAACCTTTATTGCAATGGTTGCATAATAAAGGGGTTGAATTTCTTTTTTATTGAAAAACAAAATTTTCAAGTTGTATGTGAAGTCACAAATTCTCTAGCAGATTATTATTTGGCAGACGGCTTGCTCTATACAAAATTGTAGTATGATTTGAATACATTAATGAAAAATCAAATGGTGGAAAGATTCCAATCTACATTGCCTTTTACAGGTTTTATTATTCAAAATTACCCTTAAACTTTCCAATCTTGATACATTTTTTTATAATGCAAGATTGATACTAATTTAACTCTATATTATTTATAATCCATAAAAATTGAACTTCCAGGTAAAATATAAAAAATACCCTGTACAAGTTCTACCTACTTATTTATACCTATTACATTAAACCTTAAAAGTTACTACGCTATTTAAAAACACCAATTATTTAGTGGTGTAAACTGTAAATAATAATAACAGTTAATAATTGACTAACCAACAGAAAAGACCGCATCCATTTACAGGTCAACTTATAATGTATATGTAATTATAATAAAGCTCTATTACATACACTTATAAGACGAAAGAGAGGTAATGGGTCTTTTAAATTTTTGGAATAGTGTATTAAACATAAGGATTTTTTCGATTTTTAATTTATTTTCAATAATGTATAACACAAACACTCTGTATAATGTTTAGACACTGTTTTACCGGAAAAACGACAATCAAATAGAAAAATCCAAAAAGTTAAGTCATATGTACGGGCATAGATTCGTTATATGGTTAAACTTTTATCACAGAAATACAATCCCCTGTATATTTCACAATTTTAACATTAATAGCAACACTATAATAACATCACCTAGGAGGCTAGGGACACAAACCTATGTATCCGGTGCGCGTATTGGCATTATGTACTATTATTCAGAGCAGCTCTGGTCTGATTCGCAGTATACTATGGCTTCACGTTATGCGCAAATTGATTATACATTATGTACTGCGATTCAGAGCACCGATATGGTTTAGACTTTAGAGTTCTGAAACCCTGTATATAATGGGTTTCTGCAAAGCGCGTGTACATTAGTCAAAATTATACTGCGATTTAGCAAATTTATACTGCGATTCAGAAATAATGTCAAATCGTGCAGGAGAATAGTTTGGTTATCTCTAAACATCTTTAGATTGTCAGACACTTACAAGACGTGTGTTTTTATTGTTACCTTTGCAAGAAAGGTACATTTTTTGTGGTTTGTGTGTGATCAAGGTTCTCAAACTGCACTAAAATGAACTATAAAGAGGTATTGGTTGAAATGTGTAAAGAGAATACATTTTCAATGATCGAATATTTGGAACGAGTAGAACATGGATTTAAAGCGAAACTTCGACTTAAAAAACGGGTGAAGATATTAACAGTGTTTGGTGCGACAAGTGGTTAGCTGATTTTAGTAATAAAACAAACACTAAACCATATAGGTGCTCTGAATCGCAGTACATAATGTATTATTAATTTGCGCATAACGTGAAGCCATAGTATACTGCGAATCAGACCAGAGCTGCTCTGAATCATAGTACAGAATGCCAATACGCATCCGGTGCGTCGTAGTTTCAATCTTATATTGTCTCCGTCCACTTTTTGCTTTTTGTATAATACTGTCTTGCATAGTAAAAAAAGGAAAGTTTGTACTTTACAAAGATGATGCCATTTCGATTTACGGAATGAAACGTTTGAAAACCCCTAAAGTGCAACTAATTACGAGAAAAAACAACACAAAACAAAACAAAAGTTAGCGAATATTGTCTTTACTTTTCTTTACTATCTAAAATGTTTTTCGTTATATAGTAGTTATTGCTATACGACGAATTTTTTACACAAATTTTGAGACAACAATCCTCGTTCATATTAGCGGTCCTTTATTAAATTATTATCCAAACGAGTGGATAGGCGTGTCTGTTCTTTTTCTTTTGGAAAACCGCGATAAAAATATGTTGTAAGTAGTGGTAATAATATGCAGCATTATTTATAAATTAAATAAAACGTAAACCAGACTCTTCGAACGAATATGAAGAAGAAAGAGCGAATGACAGGAAATTTTTCCCTCGCCTATTTTGGTTTGCGATTGTAAAGTTAAATTGTTCAACTTAATCTGTATTACAAAGGCCTATTTATTTATTCTTGAAATTTCATTAAAAGCAACTTAACTAAGGTAATGTGCTGTAAACTTTAATTTTTACTCGTTGTTCTGATTTAGAAACTTGAAACTTGAAAACTCGAAACAAAAAGGAAACTTTTTTAATTAAGCTATTTTAAAGTTCGAGATCCATGTCATTTTTCCAAGAACATTTTGGTAAGTACGTAAGTGTACCTAAGTACTGGAAAGTTTGAATTATATTTAAAATTTTTGTAATGAATAAACTTTGTGTATTATATGAAAAAAAATTGAATACTGTACCCTCAATGTAATTAAAGAGTGAAAAAGTTTTTACATCTTCAACCGTGAAATGCTTAATTATAAATCCACCTACCTACTTAGAAAACAGTGTCAAATCACAAATTACTTTATAATTCAGTTAATCCCTTCCCTTGCCGGTTACCGCAAATGTCCGTACGCTTGTAAGTATATTTCATTATAACTTTATAGTGGCGGTAATTTACACGTCGACTGAAGTTGTTTTAAATTTGACTGATATTCTGGAAGAACCTTTACTGACACCTGTTTTTGGGTCTTCAATCTCGCGGGCCGCTTAAGCCCGCTTTTAAGTTTTTTGTAGTGCGCGAATAAACTGATTTACTTCAACATCCAAAGGCTTCCAAGAGAATGAGAGTTTCATGAACTTATTCGCGATAGTTTTTAGGGCACTGGTAAAGCAGATCCAGGAGAATTGCAAATATAACTCATAGATTTGCAGAGCAATACTGAAGTACCTACAAGAAAAGTACACCGTTCTAATTTTTACTCCAACTGTATTGACAGAAATAAGTTTCCCAATATTGAACTTTACGCTCAGAAAATGACGTCCTTGTTTATTTATATGAGAAAATGATTTCTAGATTGAAACATGTCAAATGAAAAAATAGAAATAGAACTAGAATATCGGATTCATTTCCTTCCAATATGGCACAATTGACTGATTCACGAACTTGGCCGAGATATTTGTGAGTTACACCAACCCCTAAAGTTTGGGCGAAATAGGTTCATAATTACGAAAGTTAGAGTGTTCCTTGGAAGTGATATACATATATAAACCTATAACTATACTGGTACCATTACAATAGGTAGATAGATAGAAATCTACGCAAAAGAGTGACGGGCCTTGTAGAGGTCCTTGTGGTACTAAAATAGGAACTTTTCGAAAAGTGCAAACAATTAATGAAAACGCCAAAAATGAGCGTCAAATAGAATTATGTTTTCCCGACATTGATTAATTGCTTTCTTAGAAGAAACTACTGGTCATATTAGGTTGATTAGTACTAAACTAATCACTCTTGTAACTTCGTGCTTTTCTCTTGTTCAGAATGATGTAATCCGTTATACTCGTATTTAACACGGACCATTTGTTACATACTTAATATTGGCATGACATGCATTGCTTTTACTAAAAATAAGAGTCATTTTGACTATAGCATATTGCGCATAGTTTGATGAGATTTGAACTTTGCTTTCACCACGATTATTGCTTAAAGGGAAAAAATCTTATCCTCATCTCTTATAACTTTCTCTTTAAAA